GGAGGGTGCCTCATGCTTGGAAAGGCCTGTATTAAGACGTGGGCGAGACTGCAGCAGTCCGTTGCTTTGTCTTCGGCCGAGAGTGAGCTCTATGCATTGGTTGAAGGGGCTAAGGAAGCCCTAGGAGCACGGTGTGCTGTTGAGCATATTCTGGGGTGTGACCCAGTTGTGCCTCTGCTTTACTGTGATAGTGAGGCCGCCGTTGCAATCAGCCAAGCTGAGGGTCTTCGCAAGCTGCGCCACATCGATATCAGGTCTTGTTTTCTCCAACAAGAAGTTCAGTCCGGATCCCTCCGCGTGGTTTCTGTACGTGGCACTGAGAATCCTGCGGATATCTTTACCAAGAACTTAGATTTAGCCTCCACGCTTAAGCACATGCATCATGTAGGTCTGCGCGCCGCCTTGCTTCCAGAGGGGGTAAAGGGGTTGGCAATGACAATTTTGCGGAATTGTGTTGCGAAGGGAGGGATTTCTTCGTTGATGGAACGGTTTAGACCTCAAAAGGGACAGAAGTGGCTGTTTGTGGAGTTTTGCGCGCCGCTTGAGTCAGGGTTCTCCAGGGTCTGTGCTAGGGAGTTTCCGAAGATTCATCTTTTGACTGTGGCCGCCGCCGATGATGGAACGAAGAAAGAAACTCGAGAAGATCTCGTTGCCATTGTGGAGAAAGCAAGGGGTCGCGGCATGAGGGTTTTCTTCTGGAGCTCAACTCCATGCACTGGAGGATGCCCGTATCAGCGGATGAACCTCAAGAGGTACGGAGACAGTTACCAGAAGCATCTTGACGGCCTTTGGGCTGTTCACCGGAAGCTGTGGATCGCTGTCCGAGAGATGTGTGATCTTTCTGATCATTGGGCTATCGAGTGGCCAATGAAATGCGCTTATTGGACCTGGAAGCAGACCCAGCACTACTTTAAGCTACAGAAGTACCAGATCCATGATTCGGTTGTGGATGCGTGCTCCGTTGGCCTTCAGGGGTGTGATGGGCTCTTGGTTTCTAAGCGTTGGAGGGTTAGGGTTACACACGAGAGGGTCGCGACTCAGCTTTCTGCTTTGCGCTGTGATGGCTCCCACGAGCATTCTATGCGCTTTGTGCTTCGAGATACTCGCACTACCCCGAACTTTTGTGTAGAAGGGTTTTGGAGAGCTTAGAGTGACTAAGTTCCTCTTCGCAGCCATTTCCACTCAAAATTTTTCCTTTTAAGGGTTTGGTAGTCCCGCCGGAATGGACCACTACGGTCTCCAGGCTTTCAAGGATGCCATGGTTTCTCTTTCTTCTGTTGACTCGCAGAATGAAGCACTGCTTCTTGAGAGACTGCTTGTCTTGACTTTTGCCGCAGGGTTTGTGACAGGGTGCGTCTTCCTAGGGGTTGGTCGCTGTCTGTACGCCCGTTGCCTGGCGGAGCCAGAATGGCCAGTACTTTACTTGACTTCCAAAGGTGCTTGCTATCACGTGAAACGTGATTGTCCAAGCATTCGGCATACGACTCCGCTGACACGCAGGATTTGTTTTTTCTGCGCTCGGGAACCTTCGAGGCTTCAAGAGTCTACAAAGAAGGGTGACTGACCCGAACGCCCAGAGGGGGTGTAAACGTATATCCTCTGGCTCAAGTTTTTGCTCTGGCTCAAGGTCTCGGCTCAAATGGCCAGGTAGGGAGCGGTAGCTGTCGGAACTGGGTTCGAGGCCTAACCGTGTGTGGGGTTCCAGGCCCGCTTTTCCAGTTTTAGAGTTGCTGCCATGGAGGCTGCCCTTTAGGCCAACCAAAGGACACTTTGGTGTAACCGCCCCGGGTTTAACCTGGTGAAAGGCGGTGTTGTTAGCAACCAAGTTTTGGCTTGGTGTTTTTGAAGGCTAGGAGTTTTGGCACTTGTCTGTGTAGCCTTGTGGCGTGCCTGTTTTCCTTGAGCAACAGTGGTGGTGCTACCAAACTGCCTAACCACTGGCGCTAGAGTGGTGACCGTTTGGGGCTGGAAGTTTGACTGGTGACCATGTCCTTTCATGGTGGTGCCTGTTGAGACGTGGCAGACCAGTCGTGTTGCTAAGCCTTCGTGTCCTTTAATGCAGGTAACTGGTCTAAGACCTGGTGGGCACCAGGGTCTGCAGGTCCTGTTTAGCAGCGAGCATTGCCGACCCCAACACACTGCAGCCTGTGAGTTTGGGGGTTTAGGATGTTTAGGAATGCTTGTCAAAGCCGAGAGTGGTGGAACTACGTCTCCGCCTGCGGAGGGATTCGTGAGGTTAGGTAGCAGAGTGCCCAGCGCTGGCACCGGCATGGGTACTTGGTCCGTGTTAGTAAGAGCGAGAAAGCAGGGGCCACCTGACTCTTCACGTTGCTCTCGGGCAGTTAAGCGGACAGGCTCATACTGTATGCTGGGTTGGCCCAAGCCCCGCGTCAGTTTTGATTACCTGGACACGATGCAGCTTCCACAACAAGTAAAGTCTATTACCAGAAGTGCAAGTATTGTGAAAGGTGAGTTTGGCTACGCTCATCCCCTGCGCTCCTTCCGGGCTGTGAGCTGGCAGGAGTTCTGTCGTACCTCCCATGCTTCTGGTAGTATTAAGTTTTGGGCGCCTTGGTGTCGTTTTGCCAGTACCAAGGTAGGAATTTCGCACTGTGCAGGGAGGAAACAAACCTATGCCTACGTCCTGGCATGGGTAAATGCTTGGAGGAAGTCTGCAGGCTTAGCCCGGCCTCAGGCTACCTTCGTGCCAATGTGTTTTGGCGTCGTGTTAAGACCCGGTGCAAGGAGGGTTCTCGCCCTTGTGAATATGGAGTGCCTGTTGGTACGAGGGCCTGGGAGAAGTGCTGTATGTTCTGGCGCATGCGCTTTGTTGGTTTTGAGGGAGCTTGCTGCGGAAGGCTAGCTCTCCTTATCTTTGCTCATCGCACACCTTTTCACGCCGCAGGTAGGGCCTCCTGGAAGAGGTAAAACCTGCACGAAGGAAAACGTAAGAACCTGGTGTGAGAGGTTAAAAGGGACCTAGGTGCGCAGGTGGCACTGGAGAGAAGGTGGTAGCCCTGCGTGAGCGGAAAACGTAAGGACCGTGCATCTAGGTAGGCAAGTTGTTTGGGTGAGCGGGGCTAGGGAGGGTTGGCTTTCCGGCCCTTTGTGTCTCCACATGGCCCTTATTGTGAGGGAATGTAATCGCCTGCTGCCTGGCAAGTGCAGTGCAGGAGAAGCCAGTGTCATGCTTGATAAAGGCTTTTTTACCAGGGAAACCTGGTGTGACCGGCAAATAGGACGTGGTTTTGGCACCCAGTTAGTGGCAAGACAGCTGGGGTCTCAGGTGCAACAGCAGAAAACAAGAGGTAACAGAGCACTAGGCCTGAGGCTGCAGGCTCGCATGACGTGAGTTTTGTTTTGAAAGAGTGCGCGCCACTTCTTCTGTCTTAACAGTAACTCACAGTCTCTCTGCGAGAACTGGTGCTACCAGGGACTTCTGGTGTTACCAGACTCACTAGCCCTCTAAAGTGACCAGGCCTACCGCACAGTCTGGTGTTACCAGGGTAGTGAGCAGACAAAGAACTGCAGGCACCTTGAAACTGTACAGGGTGAGTGCCGTAGAGAAGGTTGGTCCCTGCAAGTGGACAGCCTGTTGGTTGGACTCGTTAGTAAGAGCGAGAACGCGAGTCGGCTTGTATAGTGCTGCTTACCCGACTTAGTGTACAGTTGTTTGGTTTAGTTGTTAGGAATACGTTTCACCCACCGCCGGCCAATGGCCTGGCAGCGACTTGTTCGCCCAAGACGAGAAAACGTATATCCTCTGTTTGGGAGGATATGGTGGGCGTCCGGCTCATCTGTAGAAACCTGAACAGTTCTCGGCTAGTTTCCTGGCACTTGGAGTGTGAGGGACTCTTTTCGCTTTAAAGCCGTAGGTCCTGTAGGTTTTCCCTGTTTTCGGACGTTCTGAGGAGCTTTGGTAGTACCAGGTGCTTTTGGCCCATGGGAAGTTGTTTAGAGAGCTCCGAGCCATCTTTAGGTAGTTTGCACCTCGGTTTGCTGGAAGACTTTGTGCCGACTTGGCTCAAGACCGGAACTGCGTGTGGAGTGCAGCAAAACGAAGGTCTCTGTCCGAGTGTTGTGCTTGGTAAGGGGTTTTGCTGGGGCTTGTTGCAGTTTCGTTCTTTTTCGATGTGGAAGCTGTTGCTCCTTTTGTGGCAGCAGGAAGTGGGGCAGGCTCTTCCACAGATCCTGTTCTTCCTGTCCAGAAGCAGCATTTGAAAGCCAAGCAGCGGAAAGACAAAGTGCCGTACACACGTGATCGCAGCCAAACCAAAAACGGGAACGGCAAGCCACCCTGTCCAGATCGTCTTTGAAAGAGTTGGACGGAATCCTCACATCAACTCCCATTGAGATTACCGAAATTGCGATTGATGTGGGCATCTTGAAGAACAAAGCAACTGGGCAGTGTTCCTGTGGACAGACTGCTTGGAAACTTGAGCAGAGACAGCACTACTGCAATTGGAGATGTCGAAAGTGCCGCAAGACTAAGAGTGTTTGTGCAGGCGACATTGACTTGTTTTCCATCAAAGTGGCCTTGCGCAGTCTGCTTGGAAGCTTGTGGATATTTTGTGCTCCATTGTCTTTGTCACCAGACAAATCAGGCCTTGTGCTTGGCATTGACCATCGCTCTACAAGAACACTCTTCGACAACTTCCGAAAGTTTCTCACTCCGATCATGGACCGACTCGACTCAACAAAACCTTACATCTTGGAGGATTAGGTTGTGATGTGGAGCTCGACGAGATCAGCTTCGCAGAAAAACAGTCGGCGAGAGAGTTGTTTGGATCCGGTATTTGGCAATTGCCAGGCGTGGCAGCAGCAAAATCTGGCTAACTCAATTGCCATACCGCATCACCGAAGGCGGCCAAGGCGGCGGTGGCCCAATTAGTTTGGAGGAGCTGAAGTCCGCAATCTTGTTGGAAGATGGTGACAGCAGGATCTGCCACGGCTCCGTTTGCCACACAGATGGGGCGCGAACTTACAAACAGCTCGGAGTCATGGACAGTCCTTTGCTGGACAGGGAAGTCTTTGATGTCGAGTTTTCGGATTTGCACTTGGCCCACATTGCCGTAAAACACAAGCCACCGAGTCCAGAGTTTGCGAAGACGTTTCAGGTCAAGGTGTGGACTGGCTCTTCTTGGGTTCAGGAAGAAAGACAAGGTGGGACACAGAAGTTAGATGGCTTCTTTGCCAGCTTCCGACGCGAAGTTGCAGGGAGATGACGATTTCAAGCAGAAGGTGCGCCGTGAAAACGAAGCGTAGAGCCTTTCGTTGATCTTTTCATGCTTCTTTCCTTCTTGAAGATTGTGTTAGTGGTCAGTGCCGCAGTCCGTGGCAGGTGGCATACCTCAGACAGCAGCTGAAGATTGAGCAGAATGTCGCAACAAACCTCGACATTCTCCGAAGAGCATGCGTGTTGATGAATCGAGTCTTGAAAGTCGCGTCCCAAGGCAGCACCTTGCCTCAGCAGGCCGATGAGCTTTGCAAGGTCTTGGGTCAGAGGGTGCCGCCTGTGAAGGCAGAGGGTGATTTCCAGTCTCAGCTCTATCAGAAGATCGAGAAGTTGGAGGAGAAATGGGGACGCTCCGAATCTGAAGACTACCTTGCGCGTTTAGAGTACACGTGCGAAAAGCTGGGGATGTCGAAGGATTTCAAGCGTTTGAAGGCCAATCATTGCAGCTGTCATTACCTAGCTGATCGGTGCCTGGCAAAATCCGGTTTCGAGGAAATCAGAAAGGTCAGAACGGAGATCCAGCAGGCGTGTGCGGAGCTCAAAACAAGTTTGGATCAGGAGTTCAATGTGGAGCGCAAGGTTGCGGAGTACATCAGGCTGGATCAGATTAGCCAACATGCAAGATGTGAGAAGGAGTTCGATGCAGTGAAGCATCATGCTGTTGAAGTGTTCAGCAGCGAGCTGCGACTTATTGATGATGTGGCTACCTCGGACAAGACCGCATCGTTTCCGCACGCCCTCACCAAGCTTTCTCACATCATTTCGGTCCTTGCATTCGTTAGTCAGGTTTCCGACGAGGGAAAGAGCATATCTAAGCAGTTTTGGAAGGTGCTAACTGGTATGGACCAAAAGATCAAGCGCCTGGGAACAAAGAATGCTGCAGAAGTGAAGAATCTCTTCTACCCTGTGTTGGAACGGGCAGCTGCCAAACACCCCAGCCTCATCCAGGGGCAGCGGCCCTTCGACTACGAATGCGAGGCACAGCTAATCCGACAGGACCTTTTGAAGGGTTCCAGCAAGTCGCTTGTTTTTGTGCGTCCCCACCCTTCAACATGTATGTGCATCCTGGTCCTTAACACTCTTTCAGTTTCTGTTCGACGTACAGTGTGTCGAGCCCGAGGATCAAGATTGGAAAGACGAGACTCGGAAGCTGATGGAAGTGCTGGAGCAGGGACTTCTGCAAGACTTTGCGGCAGCCTTTGCAAATTTCTGTGATGTCGTCGAGAAGCGGCATGCAGATGAGCAAAGAGATGTGGCAGCAAAGGTGGAGGAACAGATCGATACAGTTCTTGTGAGGTTGCTCCAGTACGTGCAGGAGAAGCTGAGTCGTTTCCAGAAGGACATCGAGCAGCTGGATTTGGAGCAGGCCACAGAGCATCGGCAGCAGCTGGTGCAGCTGCGTGGATTCCTTGAAGGAGAGTTCATAAAGAGCAGCGAGAGACTGCAGCAAATTTGTGGCAAGTCCTTGGAGCACGTGGGTCGGATCAACATGGAGCTTGGTAAGATGCAGCCGAAGCCTTTGGATGAGCTCTGCTTGAAGGCGAAGAGCAAGATGGAGGCCCAAGCCAAGGACTTGCTGGAGCACCTACCGGATTCAGATTCGTATGCCAAGCTGGCAGCGCTTTTTGCCCAGCTTCCTCAACTTGGTCTGTTGCTTGGCGGAAGTGAGGTTCCAAGCGAGCTCAAGAGCCAGTGGCGAGCAAGGATAATTCACAAAGTGGGCTCCATGGACGTTACGGATGAGGTGAACTTCAAGGCGCTGGTGTCCATGGAGAAATCTCTTTTGACACATGTACCTGAAGTTGCTGCGAAGCTGCAAGACTTGTATGGACATCTTGTCGAGTGCGAGGAGGAGTTCTATGCATCGCTTGACAAGGATTGCATGCAAAGCCTGGGCGAGGCCTTTGCTGCTTTCTGTACTTCCGCAGTGCCGGCATGTACGGTGGACGCCACATCAGCTGAGGCAATTAACAAGATCGACCTAGTTCTTGCGAGGTTGCTCCAGTACGTGCAGGAGAAGCTGAGTCGTTTCGAGAATGACATCGAGCAGCTTGATTTGGAGCAGGCCGCAGAGCATCGGCAGCAGCTGGTGCAGCTGCGTGGATTCCTTGAAGGAGTGTTCATAAAGAGCAGCGAGAGACTGCAGCAAATTTGTGGCAAGTCCTTGGAGCACGTGGGTCGGATCAACATGGAGCTTGGTAAGATGCAGCCGAAGCCTTTGGATGAGCTCTGCTTGAAGGCGAAGAGCAAGATGGAGGCCCAAGCCAAGGACTTGCTGGAGCACCTGCCGGATTCAGATTCGCATGCCAAGCTGGCAGCGCTTTTTGCCCAGCTTCCTCAACTTGGTCTGTTGCTTGGTGGAAGTGAGGTTCCAAGCGAGCTCAAGAGCCAGTGGCGAGCAAGGATAATTCACAAAGTGGGCTCCATGGACGTTACGGATGAGGTGAACTTCAAGGCGCTGGTGTCCATGGAGAAATCTCTTTCGACACATGTACCTGAAGTTGCTGCGAAGCTGCAAGACTTGTATGGACATCTTGTCGAGTGCGAGGAGGAGTTCTATGCATCGCTTGACAAGGATTGCATGCAAAGCCTGGGCGAGGCCTTTGCTGCTTTCTGTACTTCCGCAGTGCCGGCATGTACGGTAGACGCCACATCAGCTGAGGCAATTGACAAGATCGACACAGTTCTTGTGAGGTTGCTCCAGTACGTGCAGGAGAAGCTGAGTCGTTTCCAGAAGGACATCGAGCAGCTGGATTTGGAGCAGGCCACAGAGCATCGGCAGCAGCTGGTGCAGCTGCGTGGATTCCTTGAAGGAGAGTTCATGAAGAGCAGCGAGAGACTGCAGCAAATTTGTGGCAAGTCCTTGGAGCACGTGGGTCGGATCAACATGGAGCTTGGTAAGATGCAGCCGAAGCCTTTGGATGAGCTCTGCTTGAAGGCGAAGAGCAAGATGGAGGCCCAAGCCAAGGACTTGCTGGAGCACCTGCCGGATTCAGATTCGCATGCCAAGCTGGCAGCGCTTTTTGCCCAGCTTCCTCAACTTGGTCTGTTGCTTGGTGGAAGTGAGGTTCCAAGCGAGCTCAAGAGCCAGTGGCGAGCAAGGATAATTCACAAAGTGGGCTCCATGGACGTTTCGGATGAGGTGAACTTCAAGGCGCTGGTGTCCATGGAGAAATCTCTTTCGACACATGTACCTGAAGTTGCTGCGAAGCTGCAAGACTTGTATGGACATCTTGTCGAGTGCGAGGAGGAGTTCTATGCATCGCTTGACGAGGATTGCATGCAAAGCCTGGGCGAGGACTTTGCGGATTTCTGTACTTACGCAGTGATGGCATGCATGTTCGAGGCCACGTCAGCTGAGGCCGTTGCCAAGATCGAGGCAGTTCTCGCCAGGTTGGTCCAGTACGTGCAGGAGAAGCTGAGTGGCTTCGAGAAGGGCATTGAGCAGCTGGATTTGGAGCTTGCCACAGAGCGTCGGCAGCAGCTGGTGCAGCTGCGCGGGTTCCTTGAAGGAGGGTTCGTGAAGAGCAGCGAGAGACTGCAGCGAAGTTGTGGCAAGCCCTTGAAACAGGTGGGCCAGGTCAAAAAGCATCTTCGAAAGACGCAACCAAAGCTTCTACAGAAGCTCTGCCTCAAGGCGAAGAGCAATCTGGAGATGAGAGCCCAAGACTTGCTGAAGCGCTTGGTGGAGCGAGGTTCGGATTCGGAACTGCGAGGGCTTTTTGTGCAGCTTCCTCAACTTGATGGCCTGCTGGGTGAACGAGAAGTGTCAAGCCAACTCGAGAAGCTGTGGCGGGAAGGTGTCAAAGAGGCCATAAGTGATGTGCGTCTGCGGTTTTCACCTGGTACTCCGTTTCCATTCGCCCACTTGCAGCGTCTTGCGTCCATCAGCGAAAGTCTTGGAAGGCATGTTCCGGAAATCCTAGATGAAGTTGGCAGGTGGAAGGTCTGCATAAAGGAATCTATTCAACAAGTCGCCAAGGATGCAGAAGGTGATGTAGAGCAGTGGCGCAAGGACAAAAGAAGCCATGTTTTCGCAATCAACTTGGCCAAGGCTCTCATCAACTTGGCCAGCATGCACATGAACCTTCCGTCGGCCTTTGCTGACCTTGCTGACGACGCCAGGACCTACATCGCTGCGATGCTGGACAAATGCTCAGCACTTCCCAAGTTCCACGGCATGGTTCTGAGATTGCAGGATCAGCTGCAAAGCAAGGGGTTGGACAGAGACCAGTCGACACTGGGCCAGTGGATTCTGACAACTTTCCAGCAGTTTGTGGACTGGCGTACAGCTGATTTCAATAAGAAGACCAAGAAGAAGTCTGCAGACGAGATCCTAAAGGAGTGGAGCTTGCCGGAAGAAGACGAGCTGCTGCTCAAGACAAGATCTTTGGCTTACATGTTTGAGAGACTGCACAGTATTGAGAGTGTGCGATTGCGTCGCAGGCATGTATGCCAAAAGGCTTCAGACTGCGTCCATCCCAACTGAGGACATGACGACTATGTCAAGAAATACAGACATGTCCTAAGTCGCTGGATGGAGAAATCGGTGTCACCACAAGGCCTTGCAGATGAAGTGAGGATGATGGCTACAGAGCTGACCGAGTCGACCGTTGAGAGTATGACCGGGCTGCTGGCTTATGTCGCCAGCTCAGTTTGAAGAGTCGGATGCAGAAGATGCCTGCGCATCTGTCTGCCGTAAGTGCGAGTAGTGCGCGAAATGTGCTAAGCTGTATGTTCGCCGAGGTCTCTGCTTTGTACACCATTCTTACTTGTTGCGAGACTCACAAGCGGTCCAAGGGCAGCCAAAACACGGACTCTGACTATCTGAAGCAACTGCTTCCAAGCCAAGTCTTCGCCTGCCTTCGCTTGTTGGGCTGCGGCAGCACAGGAGCCCTTCACAGTCATCTGATGCAGGTGCGCACTGGTGAGGGCAAGTCCATCGTTCTCGGCTGCCTGGCAGCTGTCCTTGGGCTTCTGGGAAAGCACGTGGGGGTTGTCTGCTACTCCGAGTACCTCAGTGAGAGAGACTATGCAGATTTCGAGCCTGTCTTCAATGAGCTCCAGTTGAACAATTTGGTGTCCTACGACACCATCGACAGGTATATCGAGAAGAGGGTATTCGACCTGCGCATTGTCACGGAAAGCATCTTCCGTCCCGAAGGCGGAAGCACCTCTGCAGTCGCCGATGATCCGCAGACACGAGAAGCCTCTATGGCGGACCATTTCTTCCGTGTTGTCACAGAAAACATCCTCTGTCCCAAAGACGGAAGCAACTCTGCAGCCGATGATGCACCAGCCGATGATGCACCACCAACACGAGAAGAGGTTCTTCTGGTGGATGAAGTGGACGTGTTCTTCAAAGTGCTCGGAGAGACCTTCAATCAAGTGGCCGAGATTGATGGGAAGCCAATCCGCGATATGATTGTCAAAGTCTGGGAGTTGGGAAAGGGAACTCGTGATCCCTGCTCCATGAGGCCACGATGAGTAACGAGTACAGCCAGTTTAAGAAGCACTTCGGGTCGAAATGGCAAGCCTTTGCTTATCTTCAGGTGTCGCGCATGTGCATGCAGCGTCAGGAAGTTCATGAGACTCCATACGAGTTTGATGGGCACAGGGTTGGCTACGTGAAGAACGACACTGTGAACTGGGATGTCTCATACGGGTATGTCACGATGTTCCACTACCTTCAAGAGTGGGAGGACGGCCGCCTGCAAGAACCTGTGCTGGAGTCGAAGTTGAAGCTGCAGGTCTCGTGCGGTCGCTTTGCCTACTCGGAGGTGGAGCTTCCGAAGGTCATGCTCGGCGTCTCCGGAACGGTTGATGACTTGACTGCAAACCAGCGTGAAATACTGAAGCAGATTTACGGTATTGGTCCCCAGCAGCACAGTGTGATGCCATCCGTGTTTGGAGAGTCCAACCTGCGCTTCTTGGACTGCTTGCAGCAGTTCAACCCATTGCTGATCTGCAACGAGAGCGACCACGCTTTGGAGATTGCCAAAGCTATTGACGAGCAGTTGGACAACGGCCGCTCAGTTCTGGTGTTCTTCGAAAGCGACGCTGCCCTGGAGGCCTTTGCATCCTCTTCGCACTTTCAGGGGCTGAGCTGCAGCTGCAAAACCCAGCAACTGGTTGCATCAGCGCCGGCAAAGGAGAGGAAAAGGATAGTGTTCAATGCTGCAACGTGGAACCATGTGACCCTGTGCTCTGCGGCCTTCGGCCGTGGCACGGATTTCATCAGCCGCGACCCTCACCTCCTTGAAAATGGCGGCGTGCATGTAATCCAGACATTCTTCTCCAGGGACAAAAGCGAAGAGACTCAGATCATGGGTCGAACAGCACGGCAAGGACAGAAAGGAAGCTACTCGATGATCCTCAGCAAAGAACATTTGCAGAAGATAGGCGTGCAACAGATCCCTCAGGGTACCCCAGCAGAATTGTACAAGAAGCTATGTGACTTCAGAGAGCAGCATGATGAGGCATGGAAGTTGGAGATCGAGGCAAAGCTACAGGAATCACGTAAGGATCACGATGAAACCTCTGCCTATGTCGATCGAGCAAAGACCGGATGCCTTCAAACCATCAGTGATGGCTTCAATGACTACACCTTGCGGCAGACGTCCCCGACAGGCCGAAGTCTATGTTCTTCAGACACGTATGTAGCCTTGCCTTTGCTCAGGTAAGATAGTTGTTGTTTTGTCCTCTGATGCAGGTTGCTCGAAATGCCGTGTCATCCTCGTGGTGGATGCAACCTTGTCCATGGGAAAACTATGGCATAGTGCTTCACGGGCAATCATGACAGCTGTGAAGCGCATCCGCGAGTGGGGAGGCATTTATGAGTTCAAGTGGATCGCATACCGGGACTACTGCGATGAGAAACTCATCGAGCAAAGTACTTGGACGTCTGACGAAAAGGTTCTGCAGCAGTTCATCGATAGAATCGAGTGCGAGGGTGGTGGCGGCAACTCTGGAGAGGCCGTTGAAGAGGGACTGAAAGCAGCCAGGCTTGAGCATGAGAAGGAAACAGTCGCAGCAATCGTCCATGTGGGTGACGAGCCTGCCCGGGATGCGATCGAAGAGGACCCATCGTTCAAGCATCCGATGCAGACTACATACCACGAAGAGGCAGATAAGCTCAGCGATTGCGGCATCGCAGTTTACAGCTACAGGGCGCTCTGGCCAGATACAGTGCAGAAAAGCTAGTCCGTTTCTTCAGTTTAGCTCGTAAACTCAGCTCAGCTAAGGTTGGATGGCTCGAGTCAACAAAGTTGACGTGCCAGACCCTCGCAGACAAGACAGGAGGTACATTTGGCGACTTGGGCGTGGACGACGACAGCCTCATCCATGCTATTTGCACTCGCTCATTCATGGCTGCAGGAGACATGAAAGCGCTTGCTGAGTACAGGGTTCGCTATGAGAATGAGCAGGATTGAAGTCTCTCCGCCATTTTGCCCAGCAGATTCCAGGTACAGGACGACTTCCGATGCGTTTTGTGCCGTGATTCAACCTGCCGAGTTGGATCCAGGCTCTAAAGATGGGAGAACTCGAAGCCTCCGGCAGTTGTGCCAAAATTTGAAAGTTGAGAATGGTACTCTCGCTTTTTGTTCTTGCACGAGCCTCCGTCCCGCTCTTGATCTGACTGATGCTTTCATGATGTTGTGGTCGGATTGTTGCAGAGTCTGATGATATGATTCACGTGAGCATCCAACCCTGAGACCACGGGGGCGGCGGGGGGGCGGAGCGGGGCCACGCTGCGAAAGGCAGCGTCTTGCCCTTGCGCGCTTCAGCACCAAGGCATTGCCGGTCCTGGAGCATTCGTAGGTGAACTTTTTAAGGGGGCCGAGAAGTGCTGCGGGTATTAAAGGCAAGGCTGCTCGGGATCAACTTTCCAGTTTCCTGACAAAAAGACCGTGGGGGTAGCATCGAGGTGTTTGGCCCCTGTGCCTCGCACTAGGCGAGTAGGTTCCTGTAGGATCCGTCAGGCTCGGGTGCCGCGTTCCCAATGAGACACTCTGAGACCTGGATGCCGAAGACGGCAGTGCATGAACACAAAAGGTGGTCCTGCTACCTCATAGGTCAAGCTGCTCTCGCTCTGAAAGCCTTCTGGCGGAAGCTGCGTCACGCAGCGAGGTGGTAGTTTTAGGGGCAGATGTGCAGGTCGAGAGATTCTGAGCTCTCTCCATGACGCCGGTGCTGTCCTGGCTCTAAGCTGTAACCGCATAGGTTGAAGGTGCAAGTCTGAAGCCCAAGCGTGAATAAGGCTCGAAGTGCCTACTTAATTTAGCATTATCGTTATCTTGCATCCATACTGGTACGGTCGGAAGCCGCACGAAGACAGTCGAGAAGGCAATGTGCACGGAATTCCACCACGTCCGATGACATGCCGGCTCGGTTCTTGGACTTTCATGATCTGCCAGCCACGGCCGTGGGTTTCGGGCTTCAGGTGCCGGGGACCTGTAATTGAACTGATGGACAGTGAGTTGCTTTTGGAAGATGCAGTATTGTGAACATGCTCCAAGGACAAGGCTTGGGGGTGTTGGTTTCTCCAGTTGACAGTTTCGAGTCTGGGGTTTCGGCATTCGTTCAACAAACTCTACCAAAGTCCGCGATCATGAACCCCTAAAGCTCCAGCCGCAACTCCACAATGCTGAAGCTAAACACGGAAGCCTGAGCTCATGAAGCCAACTTGCTGAGGCCCACGACCGTGGAGGAGGCAGCAGACATGGAGGAGGCTGCAGCGTGATGAGATTTACTTAGGGTTTGGGGTGTAGGGGGTTGCTGTTAAGGATTTTAGTGTGAGTTACCATGATGAGGAAAGCCTATGATGTACCCTATACTTATATTGATTCTGGTAGCTTGATGTAAGCTCCTTAACAGCAACCCAGTTTTGGGTGCTTCTGGAGAAGTTCAGAGCTCTAGATTGCCTCAAAGCCTCTCGAGCTTCCACATGCCTCGATTGGAATGTGCCCTGTCTGTGCATCGCTTGCCTCTGCAACTCTTTGGCCCAGGTCTTTCAAGTCTTTCATCTCAGGGCTTTGTAGGATTGACGACCTGATCGCCGGGCTTCGTCAGCCAGGTATTTCAGGCCTTTCATGTCCTTGCAGGACTTGCACAAGATCCTGGGTGTGCGCCAGGGTGCATCGCAGGGAAAGATAAAGACAGCATACTATGCAAAAGCCTTGGAGCATCATCCTGACCGTGGAGGATGCACAAGAGTTATGCAAGAGATCAACAGGGCCTTTGAGATTCTCAGCTCCGAAGAAAAGGCCAGCAAGTTTGCTGCGGAAGCTGACGTTCCAACTGATGCCCCAGCTGTCACTCCGTGTGCCTGCGGATGTCCCGAGTGCAACGATTTCATCGACAGAGGTTGTCCGCCAGGCTCAGGTGGTTGTCAGGCATGCGAAGTCTGTGATTTACCCAGCAGGAAGCTGGCACGTTTCATGCGGGAAGACGTTTTGCAGCTTTGGCACTCCCGGGAGAGCGTGACTTGCTCTGAAGTTGTTGTGCTGATGCAACGGATGCTAAAAGACTTTGTGCCTCTGGTGCTTCCGCAGCAGAATGCTGTGGCTGAGCTCCGCGGCTTGGTGAACAAGTCCGAACTCAATGGCGTTCAAGGCACAGTGCGTGGTGTGCTGCCGGACGGCTGTCGATTGCTCCGCATCCGGCGCCCACAGGCAACACAGCATGAAAGCCTGAAAGTGCGCACATCAAACTTGCATGCCACTACGCCGGAAGGCATTGTCATTCCGGACTTCGCATGCTTGCTTGGGGATGTCATCCGCCTCCTCGCCCCCCTCGCTGCCAAACAGCTGGATCAGTGGAGGCTCTTCGCCTCGGACATGGAACCGGAAGAGTTGTTGGAAAGTGCTTGCTGCTCCGCAGCGGACGTGGCCACTCAAGCTTGTGCGAGGCTCAGCAACTTAATCGCGAAGTTGGATTACTCACCATGTCGTGCCACTAGATGAGGAAGTAAAGAATTCTCTATAATGCACAACTTGCTCGAAGTCACGACGTTGAAAGTTGAGAGACCTGTGCCAGACTGACTGTCCTTGTTTGCTGGAAGCTCAGGTCGAAACCCCGGCTCTTCTTGGTCAGCTGATGCCAGCAGGGCTCTGCAGAATCTCGGCCTCTGCTTGCAAGCGCTGGCCAAGACGAAGCACATGGCCAGGCTTGACAGCCTCGGTACCTTCTTCCTTCGCGCCGCCCATGCGTCTTTAGAGGCTGCCTTCTACGCAGATTCGGAGAAGCAGCTGTCTTTGGACATGGGCTCCCAGCGTGAAGAGCTGCGAAAGATTCTGCATGAAACAGCCGCTCTCCAGCTCACCCAGGCAGCCGAAACGTGTGATGAGGCTGGCAAGGATCTCGCCCAGTGGACGGCCAAGTTGGCAGAGTTGAAGCACCGCAAGGGCGCGGGTGAGCATGATGCAAAAGCCCTCGATGAGCTGGAGGAAGAGATGGACATGGTCTTGTCGGGGAAGAATGATGCCAAGAGTCGGTTGGAGGGAGGCTATGCGGCTGTGGCCCAGTTTCTATGCTCCACGAGCGATTGGACCCTGGAGGATGCGGTTTTCTCTGCCCTCAGTCGGCTTCCGAACCACGGTGGTGCCTGGTGTGGCCGACTACTGCAGGTGAGGGCCTAGCGTTTATGGGTCATAGGGTTATTTCGGGATGTAGGCTTGACCAGGATTGGCCTTGCCTGCTGCTGCAGGCTTGTTGGGGTCCAAGGTTCAGGGTCTTCATTCTGTTGAAGTTCAGGTCTTTGCTCGCGGTTGAGTTCGTCTGAGTTTTGGGCAGGTCGCGAAGCAATGCTTGACGGAGCCTGCTCAAGCCATCGCAAGTGCGAACAGCCTCTTGCGTCCGGGCTCTTGTTAATTTCAGCTACCACAATCGAGGTGTGGCTATGTGCGTTTTACAAGAGAATATCCATACAACATGTTAAATGTTGAACCCTAAAGCCAAAAACATCCAGAGCCCAGGTGGGAGTCCCTGGGCCATCCCGACATGGACGGCATCTACCGAACCCTCGCTCGTTTCAGTGCGAGCCTGGCCAGCCGCGGTTGGCTGAGCGTCTTCCACGAGGACTTTGCTAGAAGGGTCGTTCTTCCTGGGCAGGCTCAGGGAGCATTCTTCTGCATCCTGTAGTTGTTTGTCGCATGCTTTCCAGAGAGTTTTGGAAGTCGCTCCTACCAGGACGGTCTCCGGGCTGTGCTGAGCCAGTGTGGTCAGCACTCCGGCGCGGTGGATCCTCCCTCGTCGAGGCTTCTTTGTTTGCTTGCCAAAATTGTCTCATTTTGTTTGTTGTTTTTTTCTTGCTGCTGTTGTTGTTTTTGCCATCGATGTCGAGGCTCTTCGAGCATGTTGGAGAAAGCAGCAACATGCGGAGGAAGATGTTCCGGAGACCAACCCGCATTCCATCTGGGGAAGAGGACATAAGCTCAGGGGTCAGGTACACAGGCTGGCACAGGGTACAGCTTGAACAGGCGCGGGTGTGGAGCGGTTTAGGGAGGAGTGTTGTGCATGAGGGTGCTTGGATGTTCTGCGAAACGTTTCTCCGGTTCGTGCTGTATGTTCAAGAAGCCAAGCAGGTATGGTGAGCTCAGAGCTCGCGTGTTCAAATCTTGTCGGCGGTTTCAACGGCTCTGAACGAGTGGCAGTCGTAGGAAGGAAGGAACCAAATTCGGAGCTGTTTGAGCAGCTCAGGAAGCTTGAGGACCAGTTGCTCAGAGACTGGAGGGAGGAGCCGACTCAGGAGAAAGCCCGCCTCACAGCTTTCAGATACTTGGATTTCATCCGGCTCTGTGAGCACTCCGCGGAGCACGTCGCCTGTTTCCTGAACAGCGCATTGTGGTTGGGACGGGCGCTAGCTTTGGCAGCTGGCGAGCAGGTGGAGAAGCAGTATGCGATCAAAGAGGGCGTTCTCTTTCTTTGTCGAGATGTGTGCCGACTGGCTAAGGAGCATCTGCACCCAGGCATGCAGGCCTTTGTCTTCCGCAGCGTATCCCTGCTGGGGAACTGGGTTGTTTGTCAAGGCGAGCTCGCAGATGAGAGCGACCTTCCCTTCTTGCAGCGATCCGTTCGGAACTGGCTCTATGCAGTCCGGCTCTGCCCGTTTGGAGTGCCACCCAGCATCCTCGTCTCCGATGCGATTTTGTTAGACATCGTGCTGCGGCAGTTCCACGTGGCCTACATTGACGGTTTGGCAGCAATGGACGCCTGTCATCCGCAATCATGTGTCCCTCCTCCGGTGGTGGAGCAGGCACGCTTCGAAACGTTTGCCATGGGGCTAGACTGCCTTCGCCACGAACAGGATGCCCTCAAGCAAGAGACTGCGAGATTGCGCGCTGTCGATGCAGTGCTCGCTTATGGCGGATGGACGAGAGCTTCCGTTCGCGAACTGCTTCGTTTCGACTATGCGCAGCGTGGTGAGGATGGATGGCGAGTGAACGCCGAGCAGCCCAAGCTCCCAGCAACGGAAACCGGCACCGTGCAGAGGGTCAAAGAGATCATCTCGCTTCTGAAGACGCGGCGCCTGACCACGGATCCTTCGCCGAATCTTAACCGACGCCTGATGCGAGGAACGCAACACCAAGTGGCCAAGCTTCTTCATCGCCTCAGGCGCAAAGTGTCCAACAAGAGGTACCTGAGGAATACTGAGGAGGAAGGCCAGGACGATGACCAGCTTGTCCGTGACCTTGAAAGAGCCTTTGAAGAGGAGCAGTGTCCAACAGAAGCTTCGGGAAGTGCAGCCCACCGCTCTCCACTCCCAGAGTTGGAGAAGGAGCTGAGCTCCTTGCTTCAACGGCTTTCGACCGTGCAGCGTCCGGTGCGTCCGGTCGGAAGGTCACTTCGTGGCGTGACATTCCACGGGGACGGTCGGATGGATCTGATGATCGAGGCGCGGGCTGTTGGGCAGGGGGGGTAGGGGATTAAACATGATTAAGCTGCCATAAACAAGCCTTCTTGAGCCCCCCGAAGCCCCGACCAGTTCCTGGTCCAGGACGGGCCTGGTGGTGTTCCCGCAGCACTTTTCGATCAGATGTTCAATGACGGGACCTCGACCCCCCACTACGATCCAGCTCCTCTCCCGAACGTTTTTTTCGGATGTGAAACATTCAAGAAGACTGCAAAATACGCGGCAACAGGGGAAGATAGAGAGAGCAATGCTGGGGTGTACCGCAAAAGCAAAGTACCATGATCGTGTGCTCATTCTGTCCTGTTGCGTCGCGGCATTGCGTTGGTTTGCCCAATAATATTTGCACCTGCCGTATGCTACAAGTAGGAATCACAGCCAGGTATGCTGCAGTCACTTGGTTGACGACACAGGCAGTGCTACTGACGCCATCCTCTCACTTTGCCTGGGGTTTCTGAGGGTTGCTCCCCACGGGGCAGCAGAGCACCTTTCTGCTTGAAGAACGACAGAATTCATGTGGAAGAGGGGAAGGAGGGAGAGAGGGAGAGAGAGGCGAGAGGGCCGAGCGTGCAGGGAAGGAGGGCAGGGGAGGGAGGGGGGGGGGATCACGAGCATAGTGACATAGTGGAATGATCCCTGCATCCGGTCCACGCGTACTGTTGGAAGCAGGTTGATTTGCGGCTTTGGCCGCGGCACTTCCTCTCTTTGCTTCTTGACCTTATTGCCGTATTTCCTTCTTCTCTTCGCGGATCTGCTTCGTGGCTCTGCCATGTCTTTGCAGTTTCTACCCTGCGGCTTCTGGGCTCACGTTTTCTTCTTGCTGTCTCTGCTCTGAAGCGCAGACTGCAAGAGTTCAAGCCTGAGATTGGTGCCTGCGCCCTGTGCTGCTGTTTGGTGCAGGAGGTGCTCGCCCTGCCGGAGGAGGATGTCGGAAGAGGCCTCTTCTTCAGTTTGGACCACCCGAAGTTCGTCGAGGAGTGCGGCCTCCTCCGACACCATGTCATGCAGCAGCAGCGGCACTCCCTGGGAGATGCACGAGAAGTAGTCCGACTCATGCACCACTGTGACTACCTCATGAAGGAGCTCAGTATGGGTGTGGAAGTCAATGCCTTGAGTTTTGGGTGTAGAGACGCCTCTGCTCTGCACAGTCGTCTGCCATCGTACCTCGTGCAGCTTCTGAAGCCCATTCACGAGCGTGGAGGGGGCGAGCGTGCGATGCACCGACTTTGGCTCGAGGCGGGGGACGTGCAGTTCGAGCGAAAGCGGGAGCTTTCATGTGAGGATGTCTTCATGGACACCCCGGTGATGCGCGTCCGCGCGCACCCGCTGGACTTTGACGAGCTGGGATCGCACCAGGACAGCCTGGAAGATGCCCCTCCCGAGTGCGAGGCAGCACAGTTTGCTCGGGCCATGACGCTGACCATGCAGAACATCTCCGAAGCCTTTCCTGAGTTCTCATGGTTGTCCGAAATTCCCAAGATGCAGCGGGTTGCACAGGAGATCCTCATGCACCAGGACTTCATGCAGAAACGCCACAAACAGCAAGAAAAGGTTTTGCCGGAACTGCTGCAAAGCTACCGCGAACAGATCCCACAATGGCCACATCGGGCAGACAGCCCCGAGGAAATTCTCCAAAAGCTGTGCGAAGACAACCCTCATGCCACACGAAGCGAAATCCGAGTGCACCAAGTCTACAAGGACGCTTGCCGCGAGGCCCCGCGAAGAGCCCAGAACCGGGATTCCAATGCTGTCGAGCAGATTTCGGAGCATCTTGCCGAATTCTCAGAGAGGCGTGCAAGCCCTGAAGCGCTGCAGCAGCTGGTGAGGCAGTGGCTGGACACAGGTGGCGCTCAATGGCTTTGCCAGCACATGGCAGGCGCCATGCGCCAACCGCTAGACCGCTTCATGAAGGATGTTTCACAGCTGCGAGGCCGTGCGGCCCCGGCCGCTTCGGGATCGCTTGCACGGAGCAGTGCGCTTGTTCCTGCCGCTATCTTCCTCCAAGAAGGTGCTTCCAAGTTGCGGTTCGTGCATGGCGGCGTGGACTTGGGATCTCGTTTCGTTGAGGCCGCCTTTCCTCTCCATCGTTCGGACTTTTGGCGCAGCTGCCGACGGGCTTCTGGATCTTGCTTGGCCACGCACCAAACTCCTCCACTTGATTCAAGTTCAGGCGGAGGTGGAGGACAAGGAGGGAACCCGAATGCCACGCTCCTAGCAGCTCTTGCTCGCCAGCATGAGCGCGACGATTCAAGCACACAAGCGAGGGACAAGGGTTCCCAGCAGCTCCCAACCACTGTGCTATTTGATTCATGCAAGGCACCCATGTCCTTCAAGGAGCTGCAACAGATTGACCCAAAGCTTGCCAACTCCTTCCGAACTCGCGGCGGCTACAAGCCCCTGAGTGACTGGGCTCTAGTTAAGGAACTTAGTTGAAGTTACCATAAAAAAAAGGAAGCCATATGATTTACTATAGATCCTTATTATGGTAACTTAAATCAAGCTGCTAACAAGAACCCAGGTGAGGCTCAGGCCCTCTATAACAAGGTACCATCGAATGTACGTGCCCAGGGGGCGGATGCCATCAAGGAGTACCTGTCCACAAGAGATGCATCTCACATCCAAGCAAAAGCACAGGGTGGCGACAACACAGAGGCCAACATGGTCTTTGAAGATAAGACTCTGAACAGGGGGCGCAACTACGACTACAAAGCGGGACGTCGGTCTTCACCGCATATGTCTCAGGAAGAGCTTGAAGCAGTGAGACGAGCTGACGCCGAGGTGAACGGGAGCCAGCCCTCTTCAGGCGTGATCCAGAACACCTTGAAGACCGCAGCTGTAGCAGCAGCGATAGAAGGAGGTATCTCTGCACTGGAAGATGGTGTTGACTACAGGAAGGGCGAGATCAGCGGGAAAGAATATGCAACGCGAGTCGCGACAAAGTCAGCCGTAGCTGCAGGCACAGGGGCTGCTGTAAGCCTCGGCTACACTGCGGTGGTTACAGCTGTGCCCGTCGCAGCTACGGTCCTGGCACCGGTGGCCGTGGGCCTCGCCGTGGTCGGGGCCTGTGCTTCAGCCGTGCGAGTTGTCAATGCCGTCACAGAACACCGCAAGCTGAACGAGGAGAAGTGAAGTTCCCCTACGGCCCGATACATAGAAGTGTCTTCCAACTGCCCTAGCACTCTTGGGCAGAGCCCATGTGAGAACAGTCGTGAGCTTGGGATCCTGTCCTCAGGTCCAGTCCGTGACGTCGCATTCGGGGGGGTTTCTCATCTCCGCACCGGATTGTCTCTCTTTTTTTTAAGCAAGTGTGAAGTACGGAGGCCGGATGAAGTACGGAGGCCGTTCTGTGCTTTGCCGGTGTAGCCGTGAGGCGACGGTGCGAATCGCATGACGATTCGCCTTGACGCACAGGTAGGTTGGGTAGAGATATCTCTGTATGTATATCCGTCGGCTCACGAGCAAGCTGATGCTGCCCCAGGTTTGTTCCCGGGGCTTGTACATGCCTGTACTGACTGTAGTGAAAGTGTCAAGTCACGTGCGAAAGTCCTGGGCCCTTGTCAGTCATGCGGAGTCCCAAGGATGTGCGATCTTTGATAATTTTTTGGGCTCACAAGACCCGAATTGCCGAGGTGCTGCCGCGCAGAGGTCGCCTGCGACGCTCCGGCACTCTCTGATTTCTGGAAGGAGGCTCAGTCTTCGTGGCTTTGTTGAAGTTCACTCAGGCGGATTGGGTTTGAGCTTCAAGGGGCCATTAGCCTCCGGCATTCAAGTTTGCTGCGCTTTCGCGAGGTCCTACGGCTCCGGTTGCATTCTCTTGTGACCTTGCAGCAAGGCCACTGAGGTAGAATAAGTGTAAGTGTAGGATTTTCCGCATGTTCAAAAAGAACACTGCAAATGGACTCGGTGGCCCGGGCCCGACGGCCACAGGGGTAGTATTTGTTGAGATATAGACAAATCCGTTTTCCCACAACCTTTGACGAGCAGGTTATGCAACTGTTTCGACTCCCACAATGATCTCTGGGTTGAGATGCTTCATAGGCATTCATCATCCGGGGAACGAGGTGAGTCCTCTGTCCGAGCCGCGGTTCTTGGCGCTAGGCATGCGTAAGATCGTTGGAGCGACGGCTTGGTCGGGTTGCTTGATCTCTTACTGAGAACTTTTCCGCCTTCAACTGTAGCAGGATAACGTCGGTGCATGCCCACGGCTCCACACGATTCAATCGGGGCCGAGATGCAATGTGCCACTGTGCCGCGTGTGGACTTCATGTGGATTGTTGGACATTCGCGTCACTTTTCCTCCAACATTTCACGATATTTCATGCAGCGACTTTGTAAGACTAGGTTCGGAACCTGTTCTTTTCGCTTGTTTCTGGCTCCGAGGACGGGCAGGTCTGATTTTTTAACTTTCGAGGGGTGGTACTTCGTTGCAGTCGTATGCAGTCGTAGCATGTCGCTGTTGCGATCCTGCTGCCCGCAAGAGCGCAGCTCGGAAGTGGCGTTGCCGCTCGCGCTACATGCTGCGAACCTTCGTGACTCCGCTGTGACGCAGATCGCCTGCATGCCTCAGTACTTTCCCATGTACGTTATCCCAGCACCTAGGGGCGTTACGCAGCAGTTTTCCTTGTTGTTTTGTGGATAGACTGGCACCGTCCCATGCAACCACACAATATTATGAGAGATTCGTGTGCCAGGTGGAGGACGTGCTGAGCATGACCATGCTCCGGCCACACGAGGAGCTCCTGAATGCAGGTACGTTGGTACAGTACGAGGAGGGCAGTCAAGGGAGTGTCATGTTCATCTCGCACCAGTGGGCTGGCTCGGACCATCCTGATCCTTTCTTTGAGCAGTTCAAGATCTTGCAAGAGGCCTTGCGAAAGATGATGTCCAACGCCTCTGGGGTCAGTGCTAACATCTTGGTCGAGATGATGTACGCTCAAGACACCAAGGGGGTCACAGCCAAAGAGCTCACCTCCCAGCCACTCTTTCTTTGGTACGACTACTTCTCCTGCCCACAGATCGAAGCACAGATGGGCAAAACAAGACAGCAGGCCATCAGCAGCATCGCGGCTTATGTTGAGAAGTGCCAGTACTTCGTGGTCCTGTGCCCCCACGTCAGACACGCAGAGAACGAAGCGCTCACGAAGAAAAGCTGGGAAAGCCGCGGTTGGTGCAGGTTAGAGCGGGCCGCCGAGGGGCTGAGGCTCCAAGGGAAGACCGGCTTGTCCATCGAAGCTCAGTCCTTGTTAAAGAACTTGGTTCAAACTACCATAGTGGGAGTCAACAGCTCAGTAAACAGTTAAGATGGGAATCTATATTATAGTAAAGTAAATAGTTAATATGGCTCCCTGATTCATCTATGTAACTATGTAACTTAACGTCAACAACGCGTTAACAAGAATCCAGGAAGTCCACAGCGGCTCCTACCAGGCACTCGGGCCCCATTGGGACTGGCTGAGGATTCCCGTGGGGGAAGGCCAGTTCAGAAAGGACGAAGACCGGTCGAAGTTGGCCGAAGTCTTGTGTGTCATGTTGGCCAACAAGCTGAACTACTTCTTGCTGCAGGAGGATCCCAATCTTCCCAAACTTCCTAAGCCCTAAGTTCTTGATTCGTCCCGAAGTTTTAGGAAAATCAAGCGCCCTAAACCCTAAATCCCTAAACCCATTCAGACTCTGAAGCCTCACAGCTTCTATACCTCAAAGCCGCATCCTAAGGCAGAAGCCTTGCACCCTCGACCCGAAGCCTCCAGGACTTCTGCAACTACCGCATCCTGCTGAACCTGCAGAGGCTGCAGCTCCGGGGCTTGGCAGCTACGCCCAAGGAGGACCCGGGGAGGATGCTTAAAGGATCATGGGACTTTAGTAACTCGGGTTATAATTAGGGTAACTATACTTATAACTACTTAAAAAGCCCAAGTAAGGTACTTATGACTTTACTTACTAAATCCCCGGGATTCAGGGTTGTCGGGAGTTTGAGGGTGTAAGGCTGCGCGGTTCAACGCTTCGGTGCCAGCCGGGTCAGGCGAAAGCCTTAGATGCAAAACCGCTAGACTTTGGGCCTCGAATACAGCTTGACCCCAAAACTTTAGGGACGTCAAGCTCAGGGTGCTGCACTTTTTGCACTTTGGGTAGAGAGTTTACAGTGCTTAAGGTGTTTTCGGCTTCGAGGTGTTTCATGTACTAAATGCTAGCATCTGTCCCAGTTCCAACGCGACAAAGGGAACCAGTACAAGGAAACCCTTTTAGGAACCCTTAAAGCCTCGGGGTAGAGTCGAGTCTAGGGATGCCTTTGAAGCGACGGCTCAGGATCCCTAGGCTTGCATCCTGAACCCAAAACCCTGTAACCCCTACCCCTTCGCCCTGTAACCCTTAACCCAATCCCTAAAACCCTCCATCCCAAACCCTAAACCCTAAACCCTACATCCCAAACCCTAAACCCTAAACCCTAAAACCCGAAACCTTAAAATCCTAAACCCTAAAACCCCAAAGCCCTGAACCCTAAAACCCCAAAGCCTTAAAACCCCTAGATCCTTTATAAGTACCCTAAATGGAGTTACCCCAATTATAACCCTACTTATAAACCTACTTACTAAGTCCCTAAACCCTAAACCCTAAACCCCATAGATCCCCTTTAAGGAACCCTATAGATCCCTTTAAGGAGCCCTACTTACTAAGTCCCCTGCCCTTCCAAGTAGATGACGGCGGAGGACTTCGTGCCGGGCTTTATCTCTGACACGACAGACCCGGCGGTGCTGACAGTGGAGCGCTTCATGCGGCTCTCCTGTCGGGGGCTGTTATATGGGTGGTTGTCAAAATTCGGGTCCCTTTTGGGGGGTACCCCAATATTAGGTGCCGTATTATAAAAAGGACCCAAAAAGGGACCCTAATTTTTCCTGTCGGGGCTGTTTTATCCTTAAAGCATCATGGGACTTAGTAACTCGGGTAAAAATTAGGGTAACTATACTTGTAACTACTTATGAGCCCAATTAAGGTACTTATAACCTTACTTATACTAAGTCCCATGATCCTCCAAGTAGGCTTCCAAAAAGGGTTCCTCAAAGGGGTTATAAGGGGTCTATAGCGGATCTATAAGGCTTATCGGGTTTGGGGTTTCGGATGTAGGAATCAGAATGTTCGGCCTTTCAAGTGGGTGTCTTTAGGTGCAAGTAGGATGCTTCCTTCGGTGCGTATTCGCAAGAGGAGGCCTAGCACACACATACATGGTGTAGCGCTGCCCGTTCCGCCCCGTCCCCGTCATTTCTCCTTCCCTCTCTGCGGATGAAGATGTGAAGCCACACAGAAAAGTTTTGCTATCCATTCCAGTTCCCCAGGTCTTGAGATTTGTTTCTTTGCACCTGGGCCTTGAGGAGGCTCAGATTTGGGGGTGCGCCAGGGCTGCGGGAACCTATGAACCCTCAATGTAAACCTGAAACCTAAACCAGAAACCCTGAACCCTAAACCTTCAACCCTAAACCCTCACCCCTGAACCTTAAACCCTACATCCTACACCCGAAGTCCGAAGACCGCGAGGTATCAGAATGGCTTCCTCTCAATCCGGGAGCCCGATTCTGCTGGCTGGCCCCCGCTTTGCTATGCGGCACTGGATGGCAGCCCTATGCTGTTGGCGAGCCTTTTGGAGCAACGAGCCGATGTGAACAGCAGCAGCACCAAGTATGACAAGCTCTTCAACTTCCCCTCCAGGATCAGAAATGGGGTCCTTGTCTCGCCCGATGTTTAGGGGAACCCTAAGCCCAAAACCCTGCACCCTAAGCCCCTCAGTTTCCAGGCCTCTTAAGAGCAGTTGAATAATTAGGATAGGATAGGGTTTTGGGGCCCCTTATACTACAAATATAAGAAGGAACACCCAAGAGAGTAGAGGTACTATGTATGAAGGCCCCTATTGGAAGCCCTGACAGGATGAGCGCGCTGTCGATCTGCGTGGCGCTGATGAACAACGACGCCTGCCGCGTGCTGATCGAAGCCAAGGCCGATCTTCATGCGGAGGACGGGTTCGTCGGGGTTCCAAAAAGGGTTCCTTAAAGGGGCTGATAAGGGATCTGTAGGGGATTTATGAGGCTTATAGGGTTTAGGGAACGGCGGGATTTGTTTGGGCTATTCGGTATGCAAGGTTTGGGGTCTAGTTCAAAGTTTAGAGGTTTAGGGGTTTAGGGTCTGGGTTCACGGCTGGTGAGCTCGATGACACAAGACCTTGGACCCAACACGTCCCACCCTCCATCCCCAAAGGAAGGGTTTTGTCGCTTTCGGATAGCCCCTAAACCCTGAACCCTTTACCCTAAATCCTAAACCCCACATCCGAAACCTAGATCACCTAAACCCTAGACCCTAAGCCTTAAAACCTACAGCAGGATGACTTGAAGCACAACGCCACGCACTGGGCTGCGCTGGCGGGGAATGCCGAAGCGCTCCAGTGGCCCATCCTTGACTTGGCTATCTTAAACTTTAGGGTTTAGGGTTTAGGGTTTAGGATTTTGGGTTTAGGGTTTAGGGTGGGCCTTTGGATTTAGGCTTTAGGGTGTTTAGGGTTTCGGGTGTGGGTACGGTATGGGGGTTTAGGGCGGTCATCTTCCTTTCATTGAACAGATACCCATGGGGTTATTGATAGGTCCAGGAAGCTTCCATTTCTTCCAGGCTTGTGACAAAGCTATCGGGTTATATGGCCATAATGACACATGTGAGGGAGTATGAAGGGGCTCTGAAATGGACCCGAAACAGTAGGTTTTATATGTCAGCGACCCTAGAGTACAAAACCCGAAGAAGAGCACTGATTGGAGTGCAGAATCCACAGCTCAGGATTCGGGTTCCGAGGTTGAGGGTTCCTTCAAGGGTTCCGTGAAAAGGTTCCTTTGAGGATTCCTTTACAAAGTTTCGGGTCTGCAGGGTTTGCGAGTTTCTCGTGGACTTCCGATCGATACGACATGAGGTGCTCCGGCAAGCACGGCACGGCTTGAGATTCACAGTCTGAAGCCCTCAAGCAGCAAGCACGAGACCCTCAGCCCCAAAACCGTTAAAACCTGGAATCCTAAGCCCTAAGCCCCGACCCGTGAACACACTGAAAACCCTAATTTCATCAACCCTAAACCCTATTTCGACTTCCAACCAAGAGCAACCCTAAACCCTAAACCGCCCTTGGAAGCAGCCGAGGCTCCTTTGCGAGCATACCCCGCAGACAGCGCTCACTCCGAACATGCTGGGCCTCTGGGCTCTTTACCAGGGTTGTACAACAGAAAAGAGGCTTACCTTTGGTTAGATAAAGAGGTCTATAAGGGTTACTATAAGGGATCTATAAGGGTACTATAATACAGGGGCCTTAATAATCCTATATCTTACCTTTGGTTAGTAGGGAATGGAAGAATGGTAGTAATAGTAGTTGTAATTGTACCCCATTCCTCCATTCCCTACTAACCAAAGGTTGTACAAGGGTCACAGAGGTTTAATCGTTCTTTTAAGGGCTTCACGCGGGTTGTTCGAGACTTTACACGGCTCTACGGAGGTTTTCTTGTGACTATGGCAGCGGCCATGATCTGTTACAAGGTGTTCGAAGGTTTTGTTGTGCAATGTCGGGGGGAGTTAAGATGGACTTAGAGGTTTCATGGTTTGCTTGGGTTCGGCCTTTAAAGGGTTTCGGGTTCGGTTTAGGCTCAGAGCGCCGCAGGAGCAAGGGCTTTGGGTTTGGGGTTCAGGAGCCAGTTCTTCTTTTCGGAAGTCGATGTAGTGAATGATACTAAGCAGGGAGTATTTTAGACAAATCCTGCAAAGCACCGGTAGTAGCAAGCATCCTAGTCATGCTGGTTTTTGGGGGAATAAACGAACCAAGGTCTGACGTAGCGTTTACGCTGGTTGGCAATGCCGGGAAGTGTGTCGAAGAGGGCAGAGTAAGACGGGACGTAGCCCTAAACCTTCATCCCGGAGTAGACAGTAGAAGCAAAGCAACGGCAACCCTGCGTGCCTGAGCTTGTAGTCTTAAATCAACCGTGATGGAGGATGCAGATTTTTCAAGGAAGAGCTGCCTAGACCCTCACACTCCACAGACCTCCCAGACCCGTGAATCCTAGACGTAAGCCCCAAACTCTGAAACTCTGAACCCGAAATGGGAGTTTCCGAACATGAGGGGTACCTTATTTTGGGTCCTTAGAATTAGGATCATACGATATTTCGGGTCCCCTATTTTCGGAAACTCCCAAATAGCCCCAAACCCCAAACCCTCGCTTCCGCCTCAACCCTAAACCCTAAACCCTAAACCCTAAACCCTAAACCCTAAACCCTAAAAAAACCCTAAGCCGAGGCTTCTTGGCCTTCGGCAGCGCCTGCATGGCGGGTTCGGTGGAGGACGCCTGCTTGGAAGGGCTTTAGGGGACTTAGTAAGTAGGTTTATAAGTAGGGTTATAATTGGGGTAACCCCGTTTAGGGTACTTATAACTCTACTTATACCCTCCTTACTAAGTCCCCTGCCCTTCCAAGTGAACCGCTTTCGGGTAGGTTTTGGCTTGAGGGTTGAAGGGGGTCTAGGTCTGGGGCCGGGGGCCCCTCCTTAAACCCGAAACCCTAAACCTTAAACACTAAACCCTAAACCTTAAAACCTAAACCTTAAACACTAAACCCTAAACCTTAAACCTTAAACCTTAAACACTAAACCCTAAACCTTAAACCCTAAACCTTAAACCCTATACCCAAAAAGGTCTAGAGAGAGCAGGCTTCTGGGCCTTGCACCCGCAGGCTGTACGTACCGAGAGCCTTCGGAATTGAAATTCGAGTCGCGGAGTCTCTGGCCTCCCGATCCCAAACACGCTTTGCATCGAAATTCCTTGGCGCTCGGGTTGTGGGGTTCTTGAAAGGCTCATTCCTTGAACCTTCTCTAAACCCAAACCCTAAAATCTTGGGACCCCACCTCCAGGTCTCTGAACTCCAGATCCTGAAGCTCCACCACAAAAGAAGCAACAAACCCGCGAAAATCTGTCATCCTAAGCCCTAGACCCCAAAGCCTCAGCCCCAAAACTCCTCATTTCCCAGGCCACCAGCTTCTTGCGGGCCTACACCCCCCAAGCGGAAATCGCTGGTAGCCTCCATGTGGCCATCCTCTGCGGCAGGGGATCGGAAGAGGCCACCGGTGCACCGGGGCGTAAGGGCTGCGAGGGACCCGAAACCCTAAACCGAGCGAACCTGAGAGCCTAAACTCTATGAGCCTGTTCAGAATCTCAGTCCGTTCTTTGATGCCGTAAGCCGTATGCATATCTTGCAATGACATGTCAGAGGCGGGAATCGTAGGTATCGTGTCAGACGCGGGAATCGTTGGTATCAGTATGGTATCCTTGGAGCTCGAGACAGCCTCCAGGGCAGATGCGCGTGAAGCTCTACAAAGGGACAGGCATGACCACGACCTGGAAATCCGTCGGAAGCTCGCTTTGTGTGCAGGTGGTGGCGCAGCTCATTGAAGCCAAAGCAGACATGAACTTTCGACTTCAGACGCCTCTCCTGAGCCCTTTGGGCATACTTTTCGCCTGCATGGGACTGCGACATCGCTGGACGGCGAGCACTCTGAGCCTGGGCTCTTACCACAATAAGGATCTATATAGCCTATGGGGGTTTAGTAGGGATTAGGGTTCCCATAATAGGGTTCATATTGTTGAATCCCTGGCCTCCCATCACTATACTTACTAGCATGATTCCCGCGCGATAGTAAATAACTCGGCTTCCTTATTATGGTAACTATATAATCAACAATGTGGATTCCTCATGATGGTAACCCTAAATTAAGATTGGGGTTTCCAATTAAAAGCTAGGATCCTTAGTATCAGGGCCCCTAAATAAGGTACCCCTATTTTCGGAAACTCCCATGTCTAAGTTCCTCAGTTGGAACCAAGGAGCACCTATGCTTACCACCACGAGAACGCCACGCCCCTGATGTGCAGCGCCTGGGTCGCAGGTTCTTCAGGTTTTGGACGATTTAGGGTTTAGGGTTCAGGGTTTATGTATAGGGTTTAGGGTTTAGGGTTCAGGGTTTATGTATAGGGTTTAGGGTTTAGGGTTCAGGGTTTAGGTATAGGGTTTATGGTTTAGGGTTCAGGGTTTACGTATAGGGTTTATGGTTTAGGGTTCAGGGTTTATGTATAGGGTTTAGGGTTTAGGGTTCAGGGTTTATGTATAGGGTTTAGGGTTGAAGGTTTACGTATAGGGTTTAGGGTTTAGGGTTCAGGGTTAGTATAGGGTTTTGGGTTTACGCGCCGCGTAGGATTTTCTTCGCACGACAGCCGCAGAGCGCCAGTGCCACAAGTAGCAGGCCCTGGGGCGTGGTTCATGACAGTCGGAACTAAAAGACGGCAGAGTCGAAACAACCGAAAGACCAAGAGACTTCTGCGGTAGTCCTAGCACCAGCAGAGTATAAGGTAAATTAGAAGTGGTAGCAGCGCTCAACACTGATGATGATAGTGAATGAAAAGATGATGGTGATGACACTTGTGGAGTACTCTTCGCAGCATTGGTAGTAGTTCGGGACAGTGTGGTGTTTGTTCCAGCAAGAGCAGCGTTACTTCCAAAGTCACGGTACATAGTAGTTCGCAGCAACAGACGGAACACAGTCAAGCACAAGCAGCAATACATGCAGGTATCATCACGAGTTCGTTCGAGACTGCGGCTGCGCTCGTAGCGGCAGGCACTTCAAAAGCGAGCATACGGATGTTCAGTACAAGGTTGGGATGTTCAGCTCTCTTGAGCTTCAGAGGCCACATATGGGGCGTCAGCATCAGCGGTGCACCGTGAAGTCATCTGATGGGAAGATTCTCGGAACGAGGTGTAACAGTGCAGGCTCTCCGGTGTAGGAGATCGCCGAAACCTCGAGGCAGTGGGCCAGCCTGAACGCCAAACGTGCACCAACTGCGTCTTTTGTGCACCAACAGAGAAGAATAAAACGACAGGTCCTTAAAACTCCAAAGCAGCCACAAAGATAAAACCCACATAGAATCCTTACAGCACAAATCGAGCTCTTACAGGAACCTTTCCGAAAGAAACCCTGCAGAACGTAAGCCCTGAAATCCTAAGTTCTAAAACCCTAAAAACCCTCAAACCCCTAAAACCCTAAACCTCCACACCTCCAAAACCCTAAAACCCAAGCCCTCCTCACCTTGCAAGCTTGGGGAGTCCAATATCACTTAATTAAGGAAAAAACCTCAAATTATAGTAGGACCCCTAATATGATTTCAGGAGTATTCCTTAGTTAAGGGATATACCGTAAATTATAGTAGGATCCCTTAGTGTGATTTAAGGGGTATTCCTTAGTCAAGGGATATTGGATTTTTTTGGGAGGGGCGCGCACGGATCTTCGAAACTCCCGCGGCTGCTCTGTGGCCGACTTGGCACTGGAGATGGGGGCGCCGGACTTCGTCAGAGAGGCTCTTTGAGGGTTTAGGGTTTAGGGTTCCTTTAAGGGTTTAGGGTTAGGGTTCCCTTTAAGGGTTTAGGGTTTAGGGTTCCTTTAAGGTTTTTAGGGTTCCTTTAAGGTTTTGAGGGTTTCTTTAAGTGTTTTGAGGGTTCCTTTAAGGGTTTTAGGGTTCTTTAAGGGTTCCTTTCGGGGGTTACGAGGGTTTAGGGTTGAGGATTTGGGGTCAGGAAGGTCGGTGGAGGAAGTTATACGGTTCCTCATCAGGTTCATGTAGGGGTGTTAGAAGGATTCCTCTGCACCTTTTCATAGGGCTTGGGGCTTGCGGTGCGGGTTTAGTGCTTAAGGGTTCGGGCTTTGGAGATTTGGGGTGAAGGAGGTTTTGGGATTCGGGGATTGGATCTCTTAAGGTTTTCGGTGTATCGAGGACTTGCTGGGTGATGGGGTGCGGAGAGTTGAGAATTTCGAGGTTAGGGATGTAGGCCGGTACAGGGATCTTAAGTGTTTGGGGGCTTCGGGGATTAAGGTTTGTTTGCCGGCTTGGGGTAAGGCTTCTGACATTTTTCTGCTCAGCAACCCTTTCGGTTTTTTCTTCGCCCACAGAGGCCAGTGCCAAATCCTGGCGCAGCTGTCTTTTTCGTGGTGGGGTCCGAAAAACCTCTTCGGGACGGTTACATTAAAGGTTTAGGGCCTCAGGGTCAAGGGATCCTACGTTCGATGACTACCCCAAGCCAAGGGCGAAAACACATCGCTACAGCTTCGGGTTTTGAGAGTGTTTATGTTTTTACAGGTTTTCTAGGGTTTGACTGGATTAATATGGGTCTTTGGAAAGGCTTGTGCATTCTGTTGCTTCAACCTCTAAAGCCAAAGCCCAAAACCCTATACCATACTAGAGTATACCCTACTTTACCATACTACGACAAAAAACTATGCTTTACTATACTACACTGATATACTTACCAAACTGTACTATACTTTACTATACGTAGCTATACTTTACTATACTCTACTTTACTATACCCTACTACACTTTACTATACTTTTCGTAACCCCGAACACTAAAACCCTGTCCACTGCTTTAGAGGCGCTTCTTGGCCCCGGTGCAGCACGTGAGAAGCTGGTGGAGACGTATGTGTTTCACGGGCTGAGGCGAGTCCCCATGTAGTAGTTTCCGATTTTTATTTGGGGGGGTACCTGATTTGGGGTCTTTATCATAAGGATCCTCCTGTTTAGGGTACTAGATTAAGGTCCCCTGTTTTCGGAAACTTATGAGATGTGGAGCCTAGGGTTGGTACTACAAGGGGGCTCACGTAGGCCAAATTCTGACCCTAGTATTTCGGTCTTCGGTATTCTGGAACTGTCACTTTACCAGTTTAGAGTTTAGGGTTTAGGGTTCTGTAGGAGGATTGAATTTGGTTGGGGGTTGAAGGACTTGGGCTCAGTGCCGTGCGCTGGTCACAAGAGCCATCTTCCCGACTGAACCCTCAGGAGGGAACAGGGCACAGTCAGGGCCCAAGCAGCAAGCTCGCCTATGCGAGAGGGGCGTTTGTAAAGCTTCCAGATGGGAAGGTCGAGTTGATTCCGAAAGGCGACGAATGACCAAATCGCGCAGGTTTGTACCGAAGGTCGTAAACCTTGTCAGACGCCACTGACAATGTCGTAGCAAGAACAATCGCGATGGTGCCAGCAGCTAACAACCGGAACAAGAAGATGATTGATAGTAAGCGTGCCAGCAGAGGGACAGACATTATTGTTGAGCCGCAGCAGAGAAAGCCCGTATGTTTACAAGGGGCATTGTCAGTGTCGCTGCTTGTGGCAATGACCACAAGTCAGCAGTCGTGCAAACTACAGCCTTAAGCTGTAGCACCTCCGCCGGCACTTATAACAGCCACACCAGGAACAGGAGGATTGCTCGCAGTAGCAATGTTGATGTCACGGTAGCAGCTAGTGGCGTTCGCAGTAGCAGTTACAACAGAAGTAGCAGTACTGACGGAAATAGCACAGTTCGTTGGTAAGGAAGGCAGACAGAGGGCTCTCATCCTATCACCACTGCGGCGGCTACCAGTACGATAGTCAATTTTACGTTATTCTGTCACGACGGTGGAGACAACAGCCGGGAAGACGAAGACCACAACGACGACGGCGACCGCGCAATGATGACGGCGACGACTGCTCCTACTCCGACTGCTTTTGCTAGTGCTACTGCAGTCACTACTGCCATAGTGGCAATAGAGGCAACATCCAACATCACACTAGCAATACCAGTAGCAATGGTAGTGCTTAGGGTAGCGCGGCTGGAGTCATAGCAACAAGAAGCAAAATAGCAATCAAGCTATGCCTGTTACTCTTATTGTGAACCATACTAAACATGTCAAGCCATGTGATCATGGTATTTGGGGTTTAGGGTTTAGTGTGCGCTTGCTGGAAACGTATGCCTTTCTGTGTTCATCTCAATTTCCCGGTAAACTCGGATGGCATGTCGAGCAGCCCGTGCAAGCGGATCGCCACCGAGAGATATGTGATCGTGTCGTAGAAATGTAGGGGTTTGAATAGTTACCGATTCGATTCCTCATTGTAACTAGTCACAATATTGTGGGCCCCAAAACATACTCCTTATTTGGGTCCCTATAATACGGCCCCGATTATTTAGGGTACCCAAAAAGGGACCTTAATTTTGACAACTACCCATACAAAACTCTTAAGGCCTCTATCTTGTACGTATGTGTAGTATCCGGAATTTGCTTCCAAGTTTTCGGCTCTGCCTCCCAGATTCCACCTCAGGGCCTTCATTGATAGACACGTGTGGGGTTTTACATGCTTTAAGCTTACCTTTGGTCAGTTGGGAATGGAGAAGAATGGCGTACAATTATAACTACTATTATTGCCATTCTTCCATTCCCTACTAACCAAAGGTAAGTAAGTTCAGGCAAGCTTCCCACAGCTCAGTCAACCAGATCCCAATGCTCATCCCGGGCTCATCTCATGTCTGGACATCGGATGTGAAGTGCAGGCAGTTTGTCATTCACCTATCTCCTACGGGTGGTTGTCAAAACTATGGTCCTTTTTGGGCCCTTAATATATTACGGCACCTAATATTTAGGGTACCCAATAAAGGCACCCCTTAGTTTTGACAACTACCAATATGCCTTGAGGCTACTTTGAATGTTGTATACGACCAGTTCGAGCTTCGCCTCCGGGGCTGTTGTCGTCCCGGAACAGGAGTGGGCATTACCGACATGGTGAACTATTTTTGGGTTTAGGGGTTTAGGGTTTAGGGTGAACTGCTTGCATTGCGAGTTTCCAGCCCAAGTGTGTTTTAGAAGTAGTTTCACTCCTTGGGCTGCTGCAACGGAGCAGCAGACGTATGTCAACTGCGAAGACAGGCACATAAAGATGGGAGGTGTGGTCTCATATATGCAATCCGGTTGGACGTAGAGAATGTCTTGGACTGTCGTCAGCACTGAGTGGCATCACGAATTGCTCTGAATGCGCTCACTATGAGACGCTGTGTTCTGCTTGTTAACAGTGTGCTCATCATATGTATGATTGCGGTTTTGTGGCTCTATTTCTGTAGAGGTCTCGTCAATGTGGTTATCATTGCTCATCAGTGCCGTTGTTGTAACCCGTGTCAGTACTATCTCTGTGTTTTTCTACCGTTGGTGGTGATGACGGGTTTGGCTACCAACGTGATCCTTTTCAATATCCCTCTCCTGCTTGCGTTTGCCACTCGTTCACCTGGTAATTGGCAAGACTGCTTCCATGGCGCATGTTTCAAATGCTTTAAGTGCAGTGTTTTTGATGAGGACTGTATTGTATCATGCGTGTCAGTACCGCTTGTAGTGGCATGACGTCTAGTCTTCTTCTGTCCTCGTTGCATTTTTTGGTAGTCTTCTTGCAGTAGTATTGTTGGTATCACTGTTCCAAACAGTACAGGGTGCATCAGTTGTACTGTTAAATAATGAGATGGCGAATATTTTTTGTTTATTTTCGTAGCAGGTGCATCACGTCACTAATATTGCAGAAATGGTTTTTATTACTTACTACAGCTGTTTGTGAGTCATGATTTGAGTCTTGTTCTTGTCAGACAGACGTTTTTGTCTTCGTGTCCTGATTGCAAGGCCGTCTTGATTAGTTTAATGCCCCCCTGCACTTGTCATTGTCTTTATCACGATTGTCGTCAGTGTTGCTCTAGCTGAGACCTTTGCTCCCCGGCCTTTTACCTAAACCCTAAATCCCGAACCCTTATCTGTGTTCTTGTTAAGGGGTTTCATTTAAGTCGCCATAACAATGAGAAGCCGTATTAATTACTATAGGCTCCTAGTATGGTAACTTGTATTAGATTCCTTAACAAGGACCCAGTAATTTGTGTGCCATTCTCAGCTCCCTCCTCAAGTTCGACAAAGAGGGACCCCGATGTGAAGGAAAGGGCCCCAGTCTCAAGCCTCACGTTCTGGATCCTCAATCTAACACGGGTTACTGTGGGTTCATGTCAAGATGGAAAGAACTGCTATCTATCATGTTCGCAACGCGCAAAGACGCAGCCCAAACTCTAAGCCCTAGACTGCAAACCGGGATGGATGGCGAAGAGACGCCCAGTGATCACAGCCCCCGTGATGCTGAGAGCAATCTCGCCCGGAGGCCCAGTGATGTCTTGTCACAAATGTATTCTGCAAGAGTTGCAAGAGCTGGCTTTGCCACACTGCCAGAGTGGCCAGCGGTGAAGTTGCTTACCGACCTCTTTTCTTAGGTGGCAGTATTGGGCAGTTTTGAAAGCCTTTTTGAATTTATGGTACAGAGGTACCTCTCACAAATACTATTGCGGGGCGTTAACACTGCTAAAAGGATAGGGAACAGGCCAGCAACTTCTTTGAGAGCTTAGTATTGAGGGTTTAGGGTTCATACAAGGCTATAAACTGATTGTGCCGTCATCCAAACGAAGACCTGGAGAAGCGTCACGGCAAGAATGCAGCGCACGGCGCCGAAGAATGACAAGACTAGTATTACTATCCATTTGGGCAACTACGTTACGAAGGCAAGTTATGGAAATCAGCAACGTGGGGAGGGTCCAGAACATCGCAATGTGCTGAGGATGAAGATGACGGCACGCCGAAGAAGGTGCCTTGCGAGTCCATCCGCATCACATACGAGGACTGACTCGCTTCGTTTGCGCTGATACTGTCTTCTCTTGGAGTCGGTGAAGGATCTATTGTTGCCTCTGTTTCAGAGGCTTTTTGCCTGCTTTGCATCCGTGTCTGCAACAGAGTGCTGTTTGGAGTTTGCTTTGTTGTCTGTCGTCTAAACAGGCAGGTCAGGAGGCAGGTCAGGCACAAGTGTCGCGCCCTGAACCCCATGCTAACGTCTTCTATCAGCTGCCAGCCAACAGTAGTATGCAAGCATCAGCAGTCGTCTTGTCGTTCCTAAGCTCTAGACCCTACTTAAAGGATCATGGGACTTAGTAACTAGGGTTATACTTATTGTAACTATACTTATAACTACTTAGAAGCCCAATTAAGGTACTTATAACCTTACTAAGTCCCATGATCCTCCAAGTAGACGTCTCAACCCGAAACTCTAAAGTCGAAGCCCTAACCCCGAAGTCGAAGCGAGAGGGGCCCGAGACGCCGTGCAATGCTCGTTTTGGCATCCCATAGCTTGGGCTTTAGAGCCATAGTTACTGTAGTGCCAGTGTGCTTTGCAGGGTTTTCTCGCTCTTATTTTGAAGAGTAGTGCTATAGCGCTTTCTGGAGTCACTTTAGCCTCAAACCCGATTTGTGTTCAATACCCGCCGCTGTTGAAACCAGAAGTAAGTTCCTGAACCCCCAAATCCTGACTCCCAAGCCCCAAGCCCTAAACCCTAAACCCTAAACCCTAAACCCCAAGCCCTAAACCCTAAACCCTAAACCTTGCTAGGACCCTCTGACGCAAGCACACCGTGCGGAGGAGCCCTTGGTTTCAAAGTCTTCTTGCTATTGCCATCGTAACAGATGTTAAGGTACTACTGCCACGACGACGGCTACTACTGTCATTCCTTCCTACTACTATTCCTTCCTACTAGTGCTTCTACTCCTCCTCCTGCTGCTGCTACCACTGCTACTACTTCTACTGCTACCACTGCTACCATTACAGCTACAACTCCTGCTACTGCTGCTGCTGCGACTCGTACTA